AAAAATAAAGGCAATAAATGATTGATAGGACAAAAGCAGCAAACAACACCAGAGCACCGTCAACCACTCACTGGATGTAATTCTACCGTTTCAACACCCTGTGATTTTTGTTGCTTTAATTAGTTTTACGGCACTTGCAACACAATAAGGTCATCAAAACCCTTGTGATTTGAAACACAACAGTGCCCTAGAAATACATATAGTAGGCCTACATCATAAATAAATCTGGATAATTGGATCCTATTGTTGAACAGTGATGTTTGGCATTTTTGAGACACAACAAATCAAAATTAGCAACACAGACTACACAACAAAAGGAAACTTACACAATGTATTGGTAAGAGTAAGATCAAAACAATGTATGCAAACGATATGATTTTTATTTCCAAATTCAAGCACGGAATACTGAACGCGATAACATTGACACCACCTGATCACATAAAGTTAAGAACATAATCATATCAGAGAAAACCATTGCCTTTATTTTTCATAATAAGTAGGGAAGTTGCAGGGCAAACTCTTGTCCTCAATCTCCAATGGGGACAGAAGAGGTTGCATTTTCTTTTCTGGCATTTTTAGATCCACAAAGCATAGAGTATCCATATGAAGGGGTAGGATGCAAAGTTGCCAAATTTGAACAAAACCCCCCAACATTTTTACGGAACCTTTCAGCACACACGTATGTAATACTTTCCCTTTTATTGTATGTGTGCGAGTCGACCAATAGATGATCGAAGTTTTCCTCTATTCTGATCAATCATCAGGGAGGTTGTGAATAAACAAGTCACTAATGAAATGTCAGGGTCAACCAGGGCAGTGTGGAGTTCTAATGCTATACCTCAACAGAAAGTCCACGCGATTCAATGGAAATGTTATCTCCTCTCAACTCAGGAATCAAATTCACATCTTTTGTGTGCAATAATAGTTTTACCAGGAGACCACAGACGTTCAAACCCCAGCTGTCCCAAATCATGCTTTGTACATGACATCTATAGATACACGTAGGCCAGTAAGTCACTAAGTGAACCTTCATGTCACAATTTTTTAAATATAAAAACCTCGCGTCTTCTGGAAATAACAAAATTGTTCAGTTTTTTTTTGTTGGGGTGTGTGTGTGTGTGTGTGAAAGGAGAGTCAAAGATCTGGCGACTTTGCACCCAAGACCCTGACTGAACACAAAAGCCATGTAAAGGGTGGGGGAAAAAACTGGCTGGGCCTGGAGCCTTTTTACAGATCACCAGCCGGGAATGTGGGAGGGTCAGATGTCATGGAAATATCACAGATGCACTTCTTAATGCTGTTTGGACAATTCTGTACAGTGAATACAAGCTATAAACACGTGAGAATTTGTTACCACGCTAAATGATTTTTACGGCCGCTATGTACACAGTAGACATTCATGTTTCCAATTATGTACATTGTCCTAGTAGATCCCTCTTCTCAGTAAACATTTTCTTCAATCACAGCATTTACTCAACATTCCATGTGGTTTTTAGTTTAGGGCAATTTTTTTACTGCACCGGTATTCCATTACTCGCTTATATCTTATGCTCCCAGTATTTTACATGTTTGGTCTGTTTTTTCCCCTTCTTTATCTTTGTAAGATATCCCTTGAACTACGGAGGCCGGTACCGACGAATTCGAGCTATCCGTTTTATACAGTATTTTTTTTTCCTGCTCAGAGAATGAATAGATGTAGGCCCTACAGTGGAATCCACTCAAACCGAAATCTGCGGGGCTGCCAGTTATTCGATTAATAAGAGGTTGTTCAAATAGAAGGGAAAAAATTTGCAAATTTAATTTTTTCCTCTCTGAAATACCTAGACCGTTCTGATAAAATGTCAAGCAGTAATGGTTCTCTAGCTTTTGATTTTTACTCTTTTTTGTCTAAAGAAATCTGGTTTTGCGACTACATGTACGTATACTGTATACCAAATCCACTGCAAAGGATCACATCTCAAGGTACACATCACAAATTTGAAACTCTAATGCACAAAAGAGAAGCCACTTATACTCTACTTCCTACTACCTCTTTGCTCCTACTTCTAGTAAACACTTACTTTTATGCTGTGTATTGTACCTATGGCAACACTCATTTGATTCCCATTGATCCAGTTCTACTGCTGGGGAATTTAATTTATGTTGTTCTTATTTGAGCGTGAAACTATGCCATGATACCCCTTTAAGATGGTTCAGTACATAAGTGATAAGCCTTGGAATGAATAAGACCCCCCCCCCAAAAAAAAAAACAAAAAAAAAAAAAACACAACAACAAAACAACTACCCCACCCTTTCTGCATTACTTGGGACAAGTGGTTCTTGGAAAATAACACGAAAGCCAGATTAAAGTAAAATGGTAATTACATTGGCTTGACACTCCTGTCAGTCATGCCTATGATTGTATCCATTGCGACTTTTGACACAAGAATGAATAATTAATGAGAGCCTCCAAGACAATGGCGTGAAAACACACATGGAAAGCTCAGCGCCTGACTCCAAGCACATAGAGAAAGTACCGTACATTCTTTCACCGACAACAACAAAGAGAGTAAAGCTTGGCATGAAATATTATCTTTTCAGGGACTTCTCACAGAGAAAAAATATCTTCCCAATCTGGGAACTGAACTCAAAATATTTTGAGTCAAAGTCAAAGAGCACCACCGACATGGGTCCATAGGACCATCAAGAAAAAGTTACTATCTTCAGACACATGTTAGGCATTTGAGAAACAAAGGCCACAGACGGGATGAGAACCACAAACCTGTACACTTAACAGGAAGAAACAAACTATTAAACCATGGTTGACATTCCCAGAGAAACAATTCATTTCTACACCTCCAAACAACAAATCTTTCCCTTTCAGTAAGAAGCAGAATACTGGGTCTGCATCTCAAGGGTACTAACTGAGAACAACTTTGAGAAAGACAAAACTAGGGTCACAAAACATCCAAATTGAAAAACCTGTATAGAAAATATATGACTTTCAAAAGACAGTCATAACAGCCCTTGGTTCTCAGATGTGTTGTGAGTGGGGATTAGACATCTTCATTTGGGCATGCCAGTCAGGACAGAATAAGAGTACCGCAGTGGGAAAAAAAGGTAAAAGAGAACACACCAAAGAGCTCCTTGACATACACAAACAGAGTAAGAGGTACCAGTTTCTTGCGATTTCCTTCAGTATTTGCGACTCTCATCGGGAAAAAAAACCACCCTCACCACCTTCATACTACAGGCGTGATAATTTCCATTTTGGAAGAGCCCAGCAGTTTTTGTTATCACCTTTTTACAAAAAGTTTGGTGGAATTTACTCTTGCCTTAGGATGACAGTCCACCCAATTTAAACACGATCCTACTTCAATAATTTCAGTCAGTAAACAGACGAACATTAAGTTCTTTTTTTTTCTTGCATGTTACCTAGGATTACAAACCAACAATGCATGCCTGAAAACAAATTCTGTGTGGTTTTACAGCTTGTCTCACAAAAAGACTGCCATTGGTATAATAACCACAGCATGTTCACGTACTTATGCTTCATCCAAACTTGTGATATTTAGATCTGCATCTGTTTTAAAACCATGCTCATGTTAGTCGCTTCACAAGTGTGCCTTTGAGAATGAAAACAGTACAAGTTGTGTGTCAATTAATTCAAGCCATTTTCAAAGTTGGCAACCAAAAATAAAGTGATCGTGTATAACTTGAAAATTTCAAAGTAAAGACGGCATATGAACAAACAAAACTTCAATTAAGTCAAATTACAACCGGAAATCATTCTCTCTGAAAGTGCCACTTGGATCACTTTCATTCCCAGGGGCACAAATGATCAGCTATGTAACACCTTCAACCTTACAGATTGTGGAGAAAAGGCAACATTTCCACAAAAGGAGGCTCTATCTCTTTTTTCATTGCACTGTTCAAGACCTTTTAGCTGTATTCAGAATGTAACCGAGAGAAAAAAAAGCGTGACCAAGCAGGGTTTTGTTCACCAGCTTGTTTATCCTGGAAAGGCAGAGTAAGGCTTTTAAAAAACCTGCATGTTCTTGGGAGATGTGCAAAGAAAACACTCTTGACATTTTTCATGCAACGTTTCTTAACCGCTTCACTGCTGTGTGGACGTATGCACTCGCTTTGTGTCCTACAAAACTGGTTCTATGTCATTTTTTCTTCTGGTCTATTTGGGAAGTTTTAGGAGATATAATTACAGCTTGTTCAGTTGTTTACTCTAAACTAAGGAGAAGATATGGCTTTTGTTTAACACATTACACCCTAACTCGCCCGGGAATTCCCTTACGCGCCCCACCCTGACTCGCCTGCGCCGACATAGCATCTTTAGAAACGAAGTCTCGCCTTGACGAGACTCTGGGGCCGAGATTTTTTATTTGCATAGTTATAGCAAAAAGTTTCTTCTTTCGTTTGATACCAAAACGAAAATTTTCGGGCTGATCGAAGTGCGATCGTGTTACCGTACCGACACTTCGAAAGTGTCTCGACTTGTTGAAAAGCGACACAATTGAGTTCGAAAACGGAAATGACGATGGATTTCAGCGAAAACAAGCATATGACAAATCAGATGGCTCAGATTTTGATGAAAAAACGTAGCAAGAGTTTGAGGCGATTCTGATTGATCAGACAGAGAAAATCTAGAATTTAGATCTAGGGCCCGACCGCGAGGCTGGGAGTGAGAGTGACGGGTCGGACACCCCGATTGAACTAAAGTTAGAACATTTCCAACAGTTTGTGCATAGCCTACATAAAGTTATATTTTTCTGAAACAACAGTTTTCTTTTTAACTTTTATTTTTTCAGGATTTTTGGAATTTGTTTAGTATTTTTAAAAAGTGCTTTTTAAACGCTTGTATTCACGGGAGGTGGGTTCCTTTCTCCTTGCTTAGGATCTAGGAAAGGACTTCGCGTCCAGGCCCTTAGGGTGTAATGTGTTAAATCTCTCTTGAACGAGCATTCTGTCTCGTCTGTGCATACGTAAATGGAACAACTCAGCAATGAAGGGGTGAATTCAAAAGTTTTTCTTAAAGCAATAACCTCAACTTTTGGGGAAAAAACCCAACAAAACACACACCCAAAAGAACCCCCGTTTTACAGCATTCATTCCTCACGACAGAAATTTTTTGAAACAACAACAAAATCAATATAAAAAATCATGTCAGTTGACCAACTTGTGACCCTGGGCCAACAGAAGTGAGAATAACCTCTTAACCTAAGCAGAACACACCACATAAACTCAAGAATAACCTCTTAACCTAAGCAGAACACACCACATAAACTCAATACAATCTAATTAAACTGGTGGATTGAACTGACAAAATCATACACTTGACATAAATGTCCCCGGACACAAAGGCAATGACCAACTAGAAAGATCAAGTCACAGTGACATGTCTCACTTTAAAAAATTAACATAACAGAAAGAGTTATTTTAGCATTCAGGGATGCCCCTCAACTTTTTTGAAAACAGCTGAAAATCCATGCGCCACGGCCTCGTTAACATTTGAAAATCAATTTGAAACCCAAAGGGTGTACATAGAGAGAAATGGCAAACATAAGCAATGGGTGTACATAGAGAGAAATGACATACAGACAAAAACAAACGGTGTACATAGGAAGAAATGACAAACATTTAAAGAAAAATAGATAAGATGTGCTTAACATGACAGAATCTTACCTCTCACATGCATATTTCAGGCATACAGGATTGAAGATGGCATTATCCCACAAATTTATTCCTGGATTTTTTCCCCAACTATAGATTTTTATCTCGATCTCAATAACAGAATAGCGGATCAGGATCAAAATACCGGAAAAAGGCGGAAAAGTGGCATCCCTGAGCATTAGTCGATTTGTAATGCTATTGAAGAGGAATCACCGAGTTAATATTTTAGTCACAAAGGGAACACACGAGTGGGGGGAAAGAAAAAGATCATTGATCAAAGTCAGTTATATTTGACTCCTCATCTGTTCTAGCTTCTGATAAGGGACCCAAAATCAGATCTGTTCACAAGATACAAGAAAACGAAAGTACCCTTCAAGGTGACACAGAAAACACCTGCCTTGATTGCTGCTACATGTGACTTACCCGTACAAACTTATCACACCAGCCAGTCCACTCAAACTACTCATCTTCTATTGCACTACACATGACTGCAGGTACATAGAATGCTCAAAAGAAAATTTGAAAAATTAAGCTTGCCATACCTAACCACTTCTACCCGGATTTAGACGATAAATTCATTACCTCATTGCCATATCATCAGCACAAAAGCACCAGACTGCTTTTCATCTCTATATATAACTTACCTGAAGTTTCCATGAAATAGGATATCACCCCTCTACTAGGCAGTGCAACAGCACTTTGGACAATACAGAAAACAAATTCAAAATAGACATTGCAAGCATTGCAAAGTCCCCCCCCCCCCCGGAAAAGAAAAAAGGCATGAAACTGAACATCGAAACTGAACAGGTAAGCATTGCTTTCTTTCATTCTTCATGATCCCAAGAAAATCATCCAGTAAAAGGAATTCAGAGAGAAATAACCAATCAAAGGCCTTTAAATTATGTGTAAAGCTAGAAAAAGACCGCATCCCCAATGTCAGGGTAACTTTGTGAACATTCCTGATTTTTTGTTAGATAAGAAGAAAAACTGCAGACTGTACAAAAAGTGAGAGGCTACAAGTCTGACAGACGTCTGGTTCAAACTGAACGATACACAAATGTGGAAATCTCAACAGGCTTAAGTCACCAATATCAAAGCACCATACAACATTAAAAAAGTAATTTTAATACAATGCAACTTGGAATATTGTCTCTGACAAAAGATGAGCACCTTACAGAGGGTGGTAACAAAAGTAGGACAAAAGCACTGGCCACACTTGAGTCAGTCTCACACCATCTTCACATGAGCAGCTTTTTGGAAAATCCGGTAGATTATAAACAACTTGTATCGTACACAATCTATTTGACAGGTTCTTTTAAAAAATGTAAATGCATAACTTGAATTATTGGGAGTTTATATATCAAAGAAATTTTAATTCTACATGGACAAAAACAAGCATAAAGAGAACAACCTCAACAAGTATACACGTCATAACGTATCTTTGAAACACGTCTTAAAAGCAAGTATGTGGACCCTCATTTCAAGAGAAACCACAATCCTGAAAAACTTGCACAAATGTTCAACAATGTATGAGTGCACACTTAATATGTCCAAGCACTTGATACACAATTATTTGTTCTCAAACTTTTAGAAATCACAACACAAGACAAAATATGAGAAAATTAAAATTTGTTAAAAAAACTTACCACCTGGCGTTTTCAAAACTTTACGAAAAGCAAAAAACAGCAACAAAACATTGAGATAAACAGTGAACCGAACTATTCTCACCGAGAGCAACTTAAAGGAGTGACAAAAAGGATTACATTGTCACAAAAGTAACAATAATCTATACAGATACTTCTCATTGCATGTAAGTAAATTTCAAATAAGCTTCAGAATCATGTGCATGACAGAAGAAATAAAAAATTTCCAGAGAGAAAACTGAAAATGCTATTTTAATTAAAGTGGTGGCAGGATAAAACTAGGCCTCTGAAGACGAGGGCCCCTCACCAGCCAAAACACACTGCTCGGAGCCTTCTGCGTCAGGTTCATCTCCAGCTGGGAGTTCTTCCTTGAAGTTTGAGCTCTCAACCTCAGCTCCAGTTCCTGCAGACACATCACGGTCTTCAACCTCACCATCCTTCCCGCTTGCCCTGTCAGCCTCCACTTTAGCACTTTCTTCTTCGTCCTCTTTCTGGTCAATATTTTCCTTGTATACTTGCTCTTCAACCTACAGGGAAACAAAACACACCAAACATGATTAATGTAACTGTAACGGTCATAACCATAGTTTACAGTTGGCACAATAAAAGCCACATTCATAAACACAAGTAAATTAAAGCAGACTACAGAAGACAACCAACAAACAACATGTATTATTCAGTGAAGAAACTCAAAGCCAACACCTTCACCCATGTGCATGTACACTTGCTAGATGCAGCACATTAACATTATAAATCATCTTGTACAAGACAAATACCAAAAAGAGGTGGAATCAAAAGGCAACTGGACCTCCAACTTCAACAACATGAAATCCTTGTGGGGGAAAAAAAATTAATATCCACAACTCATGTCCCATGTGCCCAAATTACTGGATACACAGAAAGAGAGTTCAACATAATACAGTGGAACTGGGATTCAACAAAAGGATGAGCAGGCTCAGATTCAACAAAGACGCTTGCGGGATGAACAGCCCACGCTGACATGATGTTCTCATTTTCCTCCCAAAACGAATATCTATTCCTGGAAACCATCCATGGCACCTGCATCGTGAACCATTATTAGCTTAGCCTATTGTTTATAGCTTACACGACCAACCAGCCACCTTCTTTCATAACAAATTACACATTTTTTGCACGTACATGTCTTAGTGTACATCGAAGTCGGATGGGTAGCCAGCAAACATGTGACAGTGTGGGTGTGTCTAGGGGTAGGGGGGACAAGTGGTCCAGGTGGGAATGTCAGTAAAGATACAAACGCGTCACAGGTTTTTTCCCCTCAGCTACTGATCAACGTGACAATGATAAGCTAGTCTTGAGATATACACGTAATAAATTGTGCACTGGACTGTGGAATCAAATGTTGCTGTATGCCAGGCTCACAACAGCATCACTCGTTCAGCAAAGAGTACGTTGTAGATGATAGATGACACAAGTGTGCAATTGAAAGAATTGGCCCTTTTGCAAAGTGTGTGTTTGGTACAGTTCAGTGTATTTTCCTGCAATTGTCCAGCATTTCTTTGGCATGGCATCAAAGAAATGAAAATTCCTCTCACTTGACACCAAACTATTTTTGGTTGAGAAAGTCGAATACATTATGCATTACTTGCTTGGTGTAATCATCTCCACAAAAACCTAATATTTTCTGTAACAAACACTCGTATTCAACAAAAATGAAGGACAGGCCCGACGACTTAGTTAAATTCGAGTTCTAATGTACAAGACTTACTTCGTCAGCATCTTCATGGAATGAGGGAGGGTCTGAGGCGTCATCCGCATCTTCTGTGTCTGAAGAGAGAACCAAAAGAGACAAGACATTAACAGACAAGTAGAACACAAGACCCAGTATTGTCATATCAAATCTTTGTTGATGAATAAACAAGGACCTAGGTCATTTCAAAATGAGCACTTTGGTGGCAACTAATAATAAAGAAAAAAAGTTTATATTAGCTGCAAGAAATTAACCATCAATATAATTTCTTCTTATTAACACGATAAACAATAGACAATAATGGTTACAACTCCTCTATTAAACTGTGCATTAATCTTGTACTTAGACTTCACTCCAAAAGAAGAGGGAATCGATAAAAATTCTGAATCATACACTTCCAAAAGAACAAAGAAGTTTCAGCTAAATTTACAGTAGACATTTATCTTAACACAGGAAAAAATAAAATGATCCTCGTCTCAAATTTCCCAACCGTTTTGTGCACATTCTGAGATAATTTTGGAGCCATTTATCTGTTTGAAACAAATATCTAGCACAGACTAATTATAACATTCTGCTTAAGTGTCCTCAACATAAACTGGAGCAGAAATCAAACCACATCAAACGGGTAAGACGACAACAGCAAAGGATTAATTAACATTCAGGGACTTAGCTTTTAAGCCAGAAAAGAAAGTGTGTTACCAAAAACCAATATGAAACTGACAACATAACAGAGCTGCCAATTGAAAGCCGAACGGCTGAAGATAAACAAAGGCCACTTTAGATGGTTTTCAGCTTGTCGTGTATACACATGACATGAGTAATTTACAAAACAAAACTTGTGAACTTTTCTGACACCATACTGATTTTTGAAAATGTCTAGTATACATGCATTTAACTTGTACATGTATGAACTGAGGTGCGCCAGGCTTTTAAAAATATGCCTTTAAAGCATATTATTACTGGTGCAGTATGGTGTGAGTCGAAGTCCATTTTCAACACATGTTATTTAAAAGGCAGTCTTAAAGCATGCAGGTTAAGTTATACAATATGAATCAAAGAATGCAGGATCATATCAGGAACAAAAGCCAACAAGGTGATTGTACAGGAAGCAAAAATAAATGCTGGGTATATAAAAGTAATAATAAAAGTTACAATATTTAGGTTTATTCATAAAAGTAAAAATATTAAAATTCTGTTTAGTAATAACTTAGAACCAAACTGTTTCTGGTTAGTCAAATTTCTTAACCACAACAAATGTCATGAACTTGGAACAAGTGGATGTGAAACTCCTGAACAAAAGAATAAAAATCTCACACTCATTGTGATGTGTCCCCATGCCTTGAGCAGACGTACTAGTAGAAGCATGTTCTGACTTTAGCTGAGATGATGTTACATTTGATGCCTTCTGCCTAGAGGACATGCCAGTGATAGCAGCACAGTGAAGCAAGTACTGCCTCAACGCTGTCTTTTGTAGGACATTTTCCGAGGGTAAAGAACCATCAATGTCACGTGTGTGTGTTTGCTGGGCAGAAGAATCTTTTAGACAACTCCATTTCTTCACACATGGCTCACCGATCGATTGCCTGGAAAGGAGCCTGTTTGATGTTGACAAATGTCTTTTTTTCTCACCATCACTCAACAGTGTGCTCCCTTCGCCATTTGTTGGTTCATTCTCCAAGCCACTGTTCTTCGTATTTACCAAGGCGGGGCTGGCACTGAAAATTTCACTGCACTCATCTATGCCAGAAAAGTCAGACAAATCCAGATCTGATATAGAATCATCCGTCAACGGCTCGTGTAAACCATGTGCCTGAGCCCTTTGTTCTATTTCTTTCACCATCTGAGACACCACAGACACTGATGAGTCAGATCTTTCAAAAACAGTTGAAGACGAAGATGAGTTATCAACACCTTTGTGAAAGCTGAATACAAAGGATGAATCACTGCTGGTGTTTTCTGAGGTATCATTGGCAGGGTTAGTGGTACCTACACTGTCAGAAAAGCTGTGACCTTTGACTCTGTGTAGCCCCGATGAGTCCCCAGCTGAGGAGTCAAATGCTGAAGCGTCCGTGGGAGGTAGAGATGAGATGTCAGACACACTCGAGTCCACAGCTGAGTCTGTGAAGACAAGACTTGAGGTGTCATAGTTGCTGCTGTCGACATCCGCCTCAACCCTTGAATCCAAAGAACTGTCTGTGAAGCCACCTGTAATGTCTTGTGCTGTGCTCGAGTCAAAGGTCACAGCACCAACATCCTCCTGACCGGAGTATTCTTCTCCGATGTTCTCGGAACAGCTTTCGTACTCCTCAAACGTCTCATCAAAGGAGGTGGACAGCCTATTAGAATCAGTGCTACACTCACTTGCAGCAGGGCCAGGTGTGGACGTCAAGACTTTTGTTCTGGAGTCACACTTATCCATCTTAGACTTCTCAAATTCACAATTTGCCTTGGATGAGTCAATACTATGACTTTCAGCAATAGTTCCACTTGTCACTTGTGTAGATCCTTCATCTTTGCATAAAACCTCAGAAACACCACTATGACTTGTCACCGGCGTAACTTCTACATTCTTATTCTGTATCTCCTCAGAGGCCTCAATGCTCTCACTAGCAGCAGCTGTTTGCCTTCTCACCAATGAAATTCCCCCAATGTCACATATGGTCTCTGAAGAGCCAAAGTTAACCCTCCCACTCTCATTGGCTACCCCATTAGAAGAGTCAAAGTTATCACTGCCACAGATAGTGTGAGTGGTCACCAAACTAACTCCTGTGTCAAACTCTGTCTCCAATGTACACCTCCTTGGACCTTCAGCACCATCACCACTTTGCCAAGTGACTGTATGACCTGACAATCCTGCATGACTATCTTCATAAAGATTGTCAGCATCTAGGTGACTGTTCGTTTCAAAAGTGCAAACATCAGGCTTCTCTGAGCTGCTCCCTGGGTGGTCTAATGAAGACACAAAAGCAGACGGTTCGGGCAAAGCTTCAACAACACTTTGTGGGCTACCTTTATCACCGAAAAACTCTGATGAACGAGCTTGATTACCAGCTTGTGTATGCTCCGTAGACTCTTTTTCAGGCTTCTGATGACTCTCTGCTTCAGCAAGCAGCATGCATTCATGCTTGGACTGGTTTTTAACAATGTCATTTTTAATTACCGTTTCTGACAGAACACTTGAAGTTTGTGATGGTACATTTGACGGAGTATCTGATGGTGCATTTAATGGAATTTCTGATGGTGCATTTGAAGGTATTTCTGATGGTGCACTTGAAGAAGTATCTGATGGTGCACTTGAAGGAGTATCTGATGATGCATTTGAAAGAGTTTCTAATGGTGCGCTTGAAGACACTTCATCGCCACTAGGCAAACCACAATACTCCATTTTACGCACAGGAAATGTGCACTCTTCTGCTGTCTGTGCATCTGTCACAGCATCTTCAAATTGATCACTTGAGAGGCCTGGTTCGCTTCTGCAGCCAGAAATGTCCTCCTGACAGTGCTCCCACTCCGAGGAGGTGAGTTCATCCACAGTTGAGTGCTGCATTTTATAACCCATTTTATTCACTTCCTCTCCACTCTCATAGCCAGTCTGGTCCAAAGTGATGTAACTTTCATCTCCAACCTGTTCTCCCTCCTCTTCATAGCTAACAGAATTTTGCCCTTGACAATTCCCTAATGTCTGTGACCTCTCATACTCCCCATCTTCTTCATCATCATAACCCTCACTCCCAACGACGTTTTGCTTCATTGCCATGTTATCGTCAGCGCTTTGATAATAGGTAGAATCAGAACACTCGCATGCAGGATCAGCCTCAATCAGGTTCTTTTCAACACCAGCGAATTGATCCTCATCCAGACAGGCTTTGGAAACTGACTCCTGATTATCTTGTTCATACTCTGCAGAACCAACATTTGCAACTTTTTTGCTTTGTTTATTTTCTTCCTTTTCAGAACTTTCATTAGAGCCATTCTCCTCCCCATCATTATTTTGATGTTCAAAGGAAACATCTTCAACTTTATCATTTGTCTCCTCATCACTACCTCCGCTCTCCACACCCTGTTCAAAATGCATGAACGCTTCCAAAGGACCCGACATTTTGTCCAAGTCTTCCTCATCCTCTCTGTCTTGGTCAGCCTCTTCTCCAAGTTGAACACTGTCTCTGTCATCAACATCCCCATCATACTCGTTGTCTCCTGATTGGTCAAGTCTCTCCGTGTCTATGTTGGAACTGTAGGCCTCCCCTGTGTCTTCCTCCAACAAATGTGTAAAACTCTCTCCCTGACTTTCCATAACTTTTCTCTTTTCAAAATTATCCTTCAAGCTAGGGTCTGTTACCTCACAACCATCTCTCTCTTTAACCATAGCACTACTCAATTCAACAGCCTGAAGGTCTTCCTTGAAGCCATCACTCTCAATAGGCAGCTCATGTCCATTACTTGCACAAGTCTTGCCAATCTCCTCACCAGATAAATAACTACCATCATCGAATCTTAAATGAGAAGCTTTCTTCATCGAAGCTTCATACCTCTCAACCTGCAACAATCCTTTTTCTGCCTCTTCTACAGTTGCAGCAACCTCTGGTTTCATGGACTCTTCACATTCACTACCTGCATCACCTCCAGACTTCCCTCCCTTTTCTACCCCTGTCTCTGTTCCAAATGTAACTGCATTCACAGACTGTCCAGATTCACAGACTACATTTTCAGCGTGCACATCTCCCTCAACTCTTAGCATTTCCTTTTCTGCTACTGCATTCACCGACTGCTCACATGGTTCAGTATCGGCAACATTTCCAGATTCACAGGAGCTTTCAGACTGTTCTCTTTGTGCAGCCTTCACTTTTTCTCCTTCAACGTTCACTAGTGACATAAGCCTTTCTTCCAAGACTGCCGGTCTCTCATGGAGTAATGCCTCAATAATAACTGGTCTGCTTCCACACTCGTTTTCATCTTTATATTTCCCATGTTCTGATGCCCCAGTGTCCTTATCAAACTCGAGCGTTTCCGATGGCTGTGGGTTGAGGACTGAGAAAATGTGCAAATGCAAGACAGATGTTAAGCACTAAACTGAACAGAGACCAAGCTTTAGAGCTATAACAAAAAACTAGTCGAGAGAATCATATCTTTATAAAATGCGGACCAATAACACAGCAGTAAATTTTCAACTTATAAACTACAGAACAAAGAGAGAATAAATTTTAAAGCTAGGCCAAGCTGAAAGTTCACAAATGCTTTTTTATAAACCACTTGTCATTTCTTCAAAGCTTTTATATCGAAACATTACTAAGTAAATAAGAGCATTGTCAATCGAAAGTCTTTACTCCACATACAAAACCACAAAAATTAAGGGAATATAATCTAACACAAAACACCTTGAGATTTAAGCAAATAAGAAAGTATTATAATAAAATTTGAAGCCAAAGTGGTGAGATCAAGGAACAAATGAAAACTACTAACTAAACAGTAAATACTTTACATCCAAAGAAAGTTGTAAATGGTCTAAACGAAGAGGCAAGAAGCACACCAAAAACCAAAAAGGTACCATAAGAAAAACAAACAAAAGACCACTGAAGAAAACAGATTTGGGGAAAAGAAAAAGCCTCTTCAAGGATAACCCCCTCCCCAAAGGGAATGCTGAAAACAGATGGCTCCTGAAGCTCATATAGCCACAACATCCATAAATGCTTTTTACAATATGAAAGCAATGGGAGTTTGAAAACTACCTTGAACTGTACTCTTCTCATCCGAGTCTGAAACATCCTTTCCTTCTACACTTTTGGAAATCAAACTTTTCCTTTCTTCAGCGCTAGACAACTTGTCCTTGTCAGACTGAAGGCTTGTTCCTTTGAGCGCATCTTGTTTCCATGTGTACAAAATTTTAACTTTGGGGCTTTTCTCCGCACAGCTCTCAATATTCACTTTTGTCCTCTCAACAGATGAAATGTCCCGGCTACTTTCTTCATTTGTGGAAACAGGACCCGACAATGACTCATCCACTTCTTCAAGCGTTGGGAGAACGTTGTCTGCTGGAATATCCTCACAGCCATGCTGATCAATCCTCTCTACGGCCACCGCAAGGCTGAAACTTTCCCTCAACGATGTCCTTACAGCTGCCTGCTCTGTGGGGTCAGTGTCCTCAGACAGAGGTAACAGTTCATTGTCTGTCAAGCGACAACTGTTGTCTTCACTGTTAGAAATGTGCACAAGCTGATAAATGTTCTTATCAATACTGGGAAGATCACTGTACATGCTGCATTCATCATAAGTGTCCAATTGAGAACTAACAGCATCCTGTTTTTGAGCTGATGACAAAAACAACAATGACCATAATAAATGCTGTGGAAACAAACTCAGAAGAAGTCAAAGGTGCTTATTTTGTGTACATATGCAAGGAAATATATTGTTATGCATGTTCTCCGCAACATAAATGGAAAGCAACTGGGGATGCAAGAGTCTGTATGGAGTACAAGTTATATGTTAGTGTTAGAGAGACTGGGTGAGATATATCAGGCATATATACTTTTACCACAATGGCCACATGTATTGACTTTTATGGCACTTATTTCAATTTCAGTGATTACATCTTTAATACAATGTCAAGACACTTTACACGAAAAAGTCGTTGCCCAAATTTCATGAGCAATCCCATTTAAAGGGCGTCACTAAAAGTAAACAGGTTTTTTTGGTGTTTTTTCCAAACAAAAAAGTTTCAAGATGGGCAACAGAAAGGCACAACAAAATTGAAGTTGAGAAAGATCTCAGGGGGATACACTACCGAAGCAAGTACTTTAATCTTCTTAACAACAGAATCATTAAAAGCATTTCAAAGCTCCCCAAGCTTTAAGTACTGAGTAAAACAAAGCGCACTTTTCCTGCTCCCAAAAGTAGTAGAGGGCATAGATGTAGAAGTAGCAGTGAGATGTATTTCTATACATGGCAGAGGGAGGTCAATATTCAAAGATATTGTAAAAGACTTGCTATGACTTAGCAGAATATAGTGATAATTGTGTCCAGTTTAAGATATTTTAATTTGTGGGTAAACATACATGTTTGTCTCATTCTGGCTAAAAACTTCCTCCTGCAAACACATGTTTGATGCCTGAAAATGGCCGAACCCCCAAATTTCCAAGCTGCCTAAAGTACTGTAACCTCACAGAGGCTATCTCATTTACACACGGAACACAAACATTGACGTTGTACGCGAGTCGTCTGCAAGTTACTACGAGTCATATTAAAAACAACAGGACAATAGAGACACTGAAAGGATGTTGAAGGGCAGACCAAACCAGAGAACCTGCCAACCACATGAAGATTAGAAAGACTTGTCATAACAATGATTATCAGTATCAGAATTGGAGAAAGTCTTCCCACATCAACCACTTAAGCATCAAAATAGGCTACTCTTAACAGAAAACATGTCTGCTGTACTCATGTCATATTGTTACTACATATACAAATATTATATACAAGCACGAAGATGTTAAATAAGCATAGTGATATTAGTAACAGCACTGTAGCGTACCGCATAGTCGCATTTAAACCAAGCACTCTATATTTTAGTCATATTGGTGGAAAATATTCAAACACTTTACCTTCTTTCTTACTGTTTTCATACTCGCTTCCTTTTTGCTCATTAATTTCGTTGAATGAAGCTTCTGAAAATAAAATATCACAAATCTCATGATTGTACATTTAAAGCTTCTTTGAATGAAAGGGAAGTACATATGTAATACAGTCGACGATAAAGAAGCAGGCATACCAATAAAATTAAGATGAGAACATGAGTTTTTAAAATGATGAATGAGAGAAAAGAAAATAATCTTCCCATAACATGACCACTGCATGAACTTGACCACTCCACCACCCGAAGAAAAGTGATTCTGTTTGAAGAAAGACTTAAAAGACCTCTTGGCAGTTTCATGCCACTCACCTAATTCATCCAGCATGTCTGTGTCAAGAGTCTTTTCCATCTCGATCTGAACCTCTATGTTGGACCCCGGGACAACCTGAAACAAAATATAATTCAAGGTAATAAGGCACTGCTCACATACAGTGTCTCCACTTGTCATTTTCAGCAATTTTAGCCAAAATAACACAAGTTAAAATGGCACACTAACACAGAGAACCTGTAGAATACATTCCCAAAATACAGGGTGATTAAAAAATAATGAACCGATTTTATGAAGCATTACCTCAGTACGCAAGCATTGTTATGGAATGAGTCAGAGACTATTTAAAGAGGAGTTACCGAACCCTTAACTCATTGAAGACGCAAACTCTGGTTATTCGTTATCCATTTAGATTTTAAACAATATATTTTTTTTTTCTTCTGAGCCCTAAAAAGTAAAAAAAAATTTCAGGAAGCATATTGTGAAATGTTAAATCTCGTGTTTCTGGTTTGTGTATGTGGTTCAAAATGAGCCACAACATTGGCTTTGATCTGTTTCTGGTCGGACAAATGTGTCCGATACGTTCCTAAAAGAGTTAAAGAGCTATTACATGTGCCTTTGTCCAGTTGTTCTCCCTTTGAAGAAAACACAGCTCCAGGACAAACCTATCTCGATATGCTCCAAAACTGGCTCGTCACATCACTGAAAACAGATTTGCATAACTCACATTTTTCAACAAGATGGAGTTGCCCCATATGAAAAAGTGCCATAGTAATGGATTGGTCGGAAAAGGGCCCCAAGACCTTGTTCTCTGTGCCTGGCCTGCCAGATCCTCAGACATCATCGTGAGTGGGGATATGTAAAAGATCATGTTTATCTTTCACCGCTACCTACTAACTTGATGACCTTAAACATAAAATAACAGCAATCAACTCAGTGGGCCATGATATGCTGAAATACACCTGGAATGAAGTCTCTTATCGCACTGATGTTGCCAGTGCTGCTGTTGGTGGCACTTGCAAGATAGGAAATAAACTGATTGTGACTTAGGTTGAGTTTTCTATTGCTTTTCCATATTAACCTTACCCGTGCAATATGTTTTACTATTGTATCCATACGACGTGGGGAACTGTGCCCCCACTTTCCAAAGAGGAAATTTACTCATTAATCCGATCCGTATGTCTTGCACAGCAGTATGTCAAAATGATTTTTTGAGAAATACTGAAAGTTTCAAAGAGATCTTCGCACTACAAGTATTCTAAAATGTGAAGAATACAACCCCTGAGGTACAAAATGACCCCAGGCGTAAAGATAGGGTTAAAACAATACATAATGAAATCGGTTCATCCTTTCTGAACCTGTTCATTAAGAAGCTCTTTTTAAAAAATCATTACATAATAAGCCCTAGCCAAAGGCAAACATTTTCTATAAACAAAATACAGAAAAGTTTGAAAAGGGATGACTATTGCAGGCTAGAACATTCTGAAAGAACACCAACCTCCGCATAACCCAGGTCCACCATAGCTCTGTTGAGTGACTGCGACATGCTGTTGTCTACATCACTGATGTAAACTCCGTACTTGCCATCGTCAGCATTCTCCAGGATGTACATGCAAACTTTGTTGTCCTTCACGTAGTCTGGGTACACAATTACAGTAATCATTAACACACCGCATGAGTATTTCACTTCTCTCTCAATTAAAACACTCTCAACAGGTTTTTTTTTTACATGAAATCTTGTGCACAGGACCAATAACTTTTGAGCGCAATATTTTCCATTTTTCGCAAACCTAGTCAAAACACTGGAACTGCATATTTAAGATAGGCCTGTTATTCTTTTGTTTCCTTGCGAAAACTGGTAACATAAAACATGGATGTTTTGTACAAATGGTTCTATCCTGCTGCAATTAACTTGACGTTTTTCTTTTATTTAGCAAATTAATCATTTTCCTTTTATGAGAATATTGAAGTGGCATATCTGTGGTCCTTTTCTTAAAGAAAAACTTCATGCTCTTTCAGCACCACAAAACATACAATTTTGTAGAATCACACAATGAAATGTTCTATTCAAAGAGTTCATCCAATTCCCAACATTTCGATAAACAGTTCAACACTACACTTTGCTAATAAAGTTGTAGCATCCTGTTAAAAACATTACCCCCAAAGTGCCAGTAAAAACTATAAAAAACTAACTGATATGAATATTAGACTCTTTTGTCTGCTCATGCACAATTTCTAGGTGTGCTCAAGGGTTCAACACTGCTTCCAAAACTGTAAAGGTACACATGCATACACACACACGCACCCAAACACACATATGTACCCTGTGCTAAGGTAGTAAAATTGTACTGTAATATTCTGAAAAGAGCAGCTTGAGAAATTTGATACATTTGTTTCAATGCAAACAAAAGAAAGAAAATCAGAAAGTGAATCCATTGTGAAAATCAGTAGTAATGGTATTCAAAACTGCAAAAGCGGCTCAAATTTGTTGAATTAACAACTGAAAAAGGTGGCACTAATTTCTGAATGTGCCATAACATCGAGGATAAATTAGAATAACATGAAACCTTAATGGCTCTTTCAGCATAGACTTTAGAATCAAGACCAACCTCTGGCACAAACTAATCAAACAGCTGCCTAAAAGAGAAAGAGTAACACAAGAAAGAAGGTACCTGTGAAGAAGGAGACAGCATCAGCACACCACTCTGGCTCCACAGACACCACACCAGCCAGGTAGCACGAGATTGCCTGAGCCGGCAGATCCAGGAATCGACTTGACAGAGGTCTCAGATCCTCTTTGGCCTGTGAGCTCTCCCATCCACAGTCAACAGACTTCACCTTTACAGAAAATGTAAGGGGAGCATGCAAATTAATACTCTGGAGAAAAACATCCTGAAAAGAAAAACTACAATTCACTTAAATCTATGTTTCACAAAACTCAAAAGTCTGCCTATATATTATGCATATAAAACCAAACACAAGTTCAAGTACTTCTTTTTTATACAAGTCATCAGCTATTAAACAGTAACATTCAAAATAAAAAGGGTATAGATCTATACTCTGCAAACAGAAAAAAACATTAAGTTATAAAAGCAGGGCAAACAAAGAAAGTAGGATACAAAATAATCCTTCCACAAATATAGTCATACAGGAAAAAGTGGTCAAAATGTAGAATATCAATTAGAGAGCACTTCAAGTAAAGTGGGGAAATCTTCCTTCTCAGAGCTAGAATCATTATACGATCATCAAAGTCAAAACAGTGATTGTATAAACTCATATACCCAAAATCTTTATTTAGCTATAGCAGTAAAAACGAATAACTAGTTGCAACAGTGTTAGTCTAATTCAAATAGAATGTAAATGCTTGTGTTTTTCCTTGGCATAAATAAACAACTACAAATAAGGACTGACTTAATATTCCTGTCCTAATAACTTACATTGCATTTCCCCTCTTCTCGAGACAACACCAGACCCCTGTACCATACTCCTTGGTTCTGGACAAGACACGGATCATCTCTCTTAGGGTCAAAGTCACTGCATTCAGTAAATGAGTCCGAGACCACATGTTCAGCAATTTCTGCCATTAGGGACGAAAATTGGCTTTTCATGGCCTGCAGTTGGACACTAAACACATTGGGTGCCTCATCACTGCATACAACTACATCATACTCTGCATGTAAACCGAGACGAATTTGCCTGAAAGAATAAAGGTGACAAGAAATCAATCATACAAATGAACTCACTAAAAAAAATAATAAGACAAATTTTGGTTCCCTTCCCTTCAAAGGCACATTTCATATTCCAAATGATATACAGTTGAACTTGCTCTAATGGCCACCTGTATGATACAATCACTTGCACAACAAAAGCAAACAAACCAAAAACAAAAATTCAAAACGGACTTGGATTCAAATGTACCATACAATAATAATAAACAATCAATCCCTTAAAAAACAAGAGTGTAAAGTTGAGTGGACTTAAAACTTACACTCAAATTGTGAGGCAGCGTGGTGGAATCAGGCTCTCGTCAATTTTTGGGCATGTAGAGTTATTGGTATTATCTTAAAGCTTGTTCACTTGTCTTTATTTGGATGAAAAAAATGTCCCATTTATCTCGAATACAAGTGGAGATATTTGCAAATGAAGGAGGTGGGGGTCACCTGTTTTCAGAGGATTAATTAGTGAGAAAATGGCCGCCAAAGATTAGTTATTTCCTTAGCTTAAGAGTCCGTGGTAACTGAAAATTTCCATTTTTTGTGCCTCTAATCAACGTTTTTCAGAAAAATCCACACAGAAATGAGTTCTTTAATTGGCATGAAAGGTGTTGGGCCAAAAAACAAAAATTTGATAAAAATTCACAAACCTGAGGAAAAGTGCAGGTTTCTTCAATTTGATTATTTTGACGAGAGCTTGATTCCACCACGCTGCCTCACAATTAGCTTTTTTATAATAAGAAAGGCAGAGGAGAACGACATTGTCACTGGTCATAAACAACTACAGGACACGGAAATGTAGAAGCAAATCAAATCAGAGTACCCACCAACTACCAATAGAAGAGATTGAAACAGACACATCAAGTGTTGTAAAATATAAGCAGGATGACAAAAGTTTGAACAAGCACAGAAAAACATTTTTTAAAGAGCAAAATACAAGCTGTCGCTGAACAACTCACCACCCCTACCCCAAATGAAATTAGAAAACTATCAAATAACCAAAAGTCAATGAATTGATGGAAATGTTCAATTTCAATGAAAAAAATCATTTAAAGAGCCTATCACATCTACCCACGCAACAAACCTTACCTATACCGTCCCTCTAAGGCATTTTCAACCGAGATGGTGTCCAACGTGTTCTGTGTGCTGTTCCCCACCACAGCTGTGCTCTCCATGATAGGCTGCGTTATCTCCAGAGAATCCATCTCCGACACGTTGACACCTCTGACAGAGATGTCCCTCCTGCTCACATCACCATCAGCGCTCCGAGCAAAGTCCTCCTCAAGAAGTACAGAAGAGACTGACTTCTCCGACTCGGTCACCACCAACTCCACCAAAGCGACTCCATCCTCATTCCTCCCCACCAGTTCCAATGAAAGCTCTTGGTCAGTTACAAGTTCTGAAAATCTGTCACAAGCACTTGGAGACCAGTCCTCTTGTAAAGGTTTCACTTTGTCCAGGCAGCACCAGAAAGCTTGTGCTGGCAATTGACAGAGCTCCTCTCGGATCTTGAACACCTGATCGCGGGCTGTTTCACTCTCGTTACCATAGTCAATAAAGCGAACCGCCACTTTCTCATCATCGTAGTCTTTAAGTACTTTTGATCTATACGGCTGCTGATCCTCTGAAAATATTGCAACAACAATATCCCCGGCATTCAACCGGCCAGTGAGTCGGTCCACCTCTCCGCCAGATGTGTAGATATCTTCAAGAGAGCTGCCAATATTGTCAAGGACATCAGTGGCAGTAGAGAGCTGGCACCAAAACAATGATGGGCTTTCAGAGTGGCTCACAAACACACTGACCTCTTCAAGCTCTACCAGATCATTGGACACACATCTGAAACAAAGAAGAAATAAATTTACTCAATTTCAAGAAAGCTTATCCTCCACAATATGTGTACCCTATATGTCAATTAAGGCTTAAGAGCACAAAACAGAAATACCCTTGACTTGAAACCTTTTCAAATCAAATTCACATCAGAATCAACAAGCAGAGAGCAGAAACAATGATATTGACAGTGGTAACATTAAGAAGAGGGACTTGTATCATAAACAGATTTTCAAAAGCTCAAAATACTAGCATTATGTGTTGTGTCCATAAGAATAATCTGCCATTTCAGACGCAGACACTGCTGAACTTTCTTTCACAAATGTTTGGACTTACCTTATTTTCTGCTCAGCATGAGCCCCTGAAGACATCATGGCATGCTTGGCAGTCTCCACGTGACCTTCCAAGTGTGTGCTTTCCAAGCAACTGCCACTCAAATCGCCAGGCTTTGAAGCAAGGCCACTCTCGTTGGATTCTGAAAAGACTTGCCGCACATTAGTGCTTATAGTCACTGCTTCAGAACTTGCTACAGCATGCCCTGGAGGAAAAAGAAAAAAAATGTAACACAAGAATCTTTTTAATTAGTTGACACTCAAGATGTCTCACAATGACACAGACAAGAATCACCTAAACAAAAAAACAAAAAACTTTTATGAAGACTTCATCGGTCAGTTTTAGATGACAAGAAAAGCAACATCATAACATAATAATTGGGACACAGAGCAGTTTGCTTCAGATTGAAGTCATGATTTCTTCAGTGAGAATTACATTTCCAGTTTGGTAAACATTGGTCATAATTTAAACACATAAAAAAAACAAAAAAACAACCCACCTTGGATGAAGAGTTTATTATTGACATTTCAAACATTTTCTGGTCATCTTGAAAAAGGAGTTAACGTCCATCTCTCACAGAACAGAGACAAATGGGTTTGAGAACCTTGAAAATAATAATAACCTTAGTCAAGACCCTAGTTTGGGATTCGAACTAAGGTCACTCACTCCATAGTTTAGCATGATACCAAGTGAGCTAACGGGGCACCTTACCAAAACAATGAGGACAATGTTGAGAACAGACACAAGAAAAAACAAACCTTTTTTAATCAGCTCAGTATGCACAGGGATTCCAAGTTCCAGTAGGTGCACAGAGTACACAGTGCCATCAACTTTCAAAATGTCAGCAAGGAGAGACCTGGGCATCAATTAAGTATATTTAAGCATTATTAAAAGAATAATGTGGATGTGGTATGGGGGAAAAGGAAAGAGGAAGAAAAGAAAGAGAATTAAAGAAAGACACTGCCATTAACAAAAATCTATTATATCTTCCGAGACTTAATCTGAAATCTATTCAACACATTATTTTTCTGAAGACATGGACTCGACATGATAATGCACTCAAAAGGGATTCAAACCCCATATAGTGGACTACACTTAATTAAAACCATCACTGACCAATTGTCCCAATGAAGCTGAAATCCATACATATATATATATTTGTATACCACAATTCCAAATAATTTAGGAAGCATGTTTTCAAATAAACAGTCACTGAAATACATGGCACACAAATCAACTTGCTTTTCTTCCACCATAGATCTGAAGTCTTCCACAGCATCCTCTGTCCAGTCCTCACCAGCAGGCATGACACCCCCTAAGGTTCCCTCCAATAAACAACATGAAAGGTTTTTGAAGTTCTCAGGAAGGGTTCTTAATGTAGAGACATCAGCCACCTCCGCATTTCCATGGTCAATGTAAAAAACCTGTGGGCACACAAATATAAATTTTACCAGCTGCGTTTTTTAAAATGACAAGTCCTTGTGGCACAATTTTACTTTAGCTCATGAAAAAAATCCCCAACAGAGGTCAAATCATTCTAGTTTAAAAAACCCAACCCAGAGCAATGGTAACAATATATCAGGTAAGTCACTTCATTTCAGACACTACAAAATAGCCAATGTTTTCCTTAAATGCATTTCATCCAATATCATAAGCATACCACAATTGCCCAAATCAATACCTGGTCGGATTTCAGATAAAATCATCATACAAAATAAAGACATCATGGAGCATCTTATCTAACAGTTCTGTTGCTTCCCTCCCAGTATTTTTTTAATTGAAAACTAAAAAGTGCCTAAGTCATGGTTCTGAGTGGGGCTCTTCTCTCTTTCTTCCACCCCCCACCCCCCCCAAAAGACACTGACGGAGGTAGGTGCAGCAAACAGTAGGTGTTTTCAAGATCTACTCCTTTTAGATTACTTGTTTTGGATTTGAACTGCACCCAAAAACGTTTTCTGACACAAAATCCATACAGATATGTCTCAAGCTTGCAAAAGCCAAAAGCAGACCTAACAGGATAGCAGTCATTTAGTATGTGTAAAGGAAAGAGACCCACTGGTGGTGAGCCCAAATGACAGCAATTTTTTTTCATTTGGCAAATTAACAACAAATGAACATTTACTTCATTTGCAATAATTATAATTCACACATAAAACTCCCTGCACACACCTGGTATGACCCATCCTCATTGACAGCCTTCACACTGACCCTGTACCAGGACTCATCCTCATACAGAGCAGCACAGAAATCGCCTATCTCAAGACTTTCCACTGTCCCTTCCCCCTCTGGCAGTGAAGAGAAATGATCAAACATGGAGTCCATCATTGTGTCCAGTTCGGGACGCTTGCTGTCCAGCTGAAGATAAAACTTGGTAGGGCTGTCAACATATGACACGGTGACAGCAACTCTTTGCCCAGTGGTGACACTTTCACAGGTCTGAAAACAAGCAAGGACAGTTTAAAAATGTGGCATAAAAAAGCACTAGAGTAAATGTTAATTCAATCTCCACCAAGCATAGCACTATGAGCTCTATTACACACCAACACATACCCAATTAAAAAAAACCCCACTGAATGTGCTTCAGGGAATCAAGATTTATTATGGACATCTGTTACTTTAATAGCTTGAAGGGAAAAAAATATTTCAAAAATCTTTTCTTTTTTTTAACTCCTGGCATGGAAACCATAAGCACTTCAACATAAAACCCATCATAATCAGACCTGAACAACCCCCCCCCCCCCCCGAACGCACATTTTCTTTTTAGACTACAAAACCCTACTCTCAGCAAAGTTCTGACTACAACAACCCCCCGAGTAATGATACACCACTCACCCCAAGAGCATCACTGCTTTGGACACTGTTCACTTCCCCTTCCATTGCATCAGCAACAGCGGGGGCTGAAACTGCAGGTGCAGCGGATGTTTCTAGATCTTCCACAGCATCTGTGAACTCATCTTTTTCGTCACTATCATCCGACTTATCTGGATCTGAAGAAAGGGAGTGGGGTGGAAACAACAAATCTTTTACTTCAGGAAAAAGAAACAACAGGAGTGTGTGCAGTGTGAAACTCTAGACTGGATAAAATACCACCAAAAAATTAATAATAAATTTTAAAATGCAAAACTGCACTGTTCAAGCTATTTCATCTTTAATAATAAATAATCAGAATGCCACAAGTTCGTAAAAAACATCTTCCATTGTGAAATCCTCTATAATAATCCTTGTTACAATCAATGCTTATGCACTATTTATATAGACAAAATATATAGATCATTTAGGTGGACTGCCCTGATCCTGCATGTCATGACTAACCTTTGCTGAATGGGATCCCGACAAAAAAAGATCCAAAAATCATTCAAAATGGAACCACCCCCAAGTAGGAATCTGTGCAATAGTGAAGAGCCCAACCATTACACCAGATACCACTCTGCACAAAACATGCATTTAAGTTACATTTAATATTAGAAGCTATAATTGCAACTTGTCTGACATTTCTAATCATCACTTCTTTTGCATGTCAAAACCTCCAATGCAGTAATGATATATCCCAAATTCTGCAAGTCATCACATTGTGCAAGAAACCTGACACAGGAATCATCCGATACTGAATTAAAAACAACAACAACCACTCACTGTTAGACTGCTTTAATCCAAGAGAATCCAGTAGATTTTTCCCATCCAAGGTTACACTGACTAGGTGGATCTGGTTGTCCTGACTCACAAACTCGACCTTGACCTCTCTGTCCACCACCAGGTTTCTCAGCTGACCAGCCTGATCTTCAGTCAAACCTGATGACAAACCGCTCAATCGACACTTCGAGGCAAACGAAGGAGTGACCGACAACTTAGCAGCATCTGGTGTTGCTGCAAGCCGGTCTATTCCTAGGGTGTCAGTATTTCCGTAGTCAACGAACCGTACCAAGTACTGTCCATTCTCTGTACTCTGCTCCACAACTGCTCTGTACCACATGTCGTCCTCTGAGAACTTGGCACAAAGATTCATTCCAGCCCCAACATCACTCAAGCTAGAGCTCTCAGTGCCTGCCAGCTCCTCTTCCAGCTTGTCTGCCAGAGAGGCTAAGGCATCTTCCTGGGCTACCATCTGTACATAGAATGTGCCATCAGGATCTATGTGCGAGATGTAGGCACTGTCTCCACTGCTTTCATCTGAAACACCACACATATATGCTCTGGTTAAGATTCAGTTTTATAATAGTTACATTTACTTTTAGTATTAATAAGAGTTATAGCACTTACAATACAAATAGGTCAAATAAATGCAGAAAATTAGGTTTTGCCACAGAATAACATACAAAGAAAATAAGGAGGAGAGATAAGGATGATAGATGTTTAACAGGAAAGAAAGAGCAAACCACATCACAGTGCCGGACAACAACCCACTCCTGTAACATGCTGTCTTTTATGGAAAGAAAGAACAAGATACAACAAAAATATTAAACACACATACAATACCAATAAGTCAAACAGGCCTACAATGAAAAAAATACGAGTCGACAGAGCAAGTGAGCCTATTACAGGAACAGAGAAATACATAATACTCCCTCAAGATGAACAAAACCTGTCATTTCAAAAAGATCCTATTGGCCCAACTAAAACAATTGATACCTTAAAGTCATCTTTCCTTTTGCAGTTGGAGCACACAGAACTTTGTCATAAAAAAACAACAAGAAACAAGCAAAGCACCTTTAACTGCTATGACATTTTTCAATGCATTGTCATAAAATAAAAGTTTGACGATACAACAGTTGATTTAAAAGTCCATGGGCACTGCAAGAACCAGCCTTCCCACACTAAAAACCCAGTGTCCAGAAGACAACCTGCCTTCTTATACTAAAAACCTAGTGCCCAAGAAGAATTGGAACAAAAAGGTAACAAAAACAGTAAGTACATACCTTTGCTCTCCACTGCACCCGCCACGGTTTGCTCCTTCTCGGGTGAAGACTTGGTCGGACTGTCAGGGACCGGAGCATTCAGTCCCAGTAGGTCCAGCTCGATGCTGCGGGCCAGCGAGACTCGACACGGTTGCTCAGGGGTGAAAAACGTTGTGTTTAATACTTTGTCCTGGGTCATCTCGGTAAACTTGGCACGCAGATCCTCTGTCCAATTCTCAACTCCCTTCAGCCGGCACTCTATAGCAAGAGGTGGCCTCCTCAACAGCTCAGGCTGGGACGACTTCAGATCACAAACATCAACAGTTTTTACAAATCCATAATCAACACAGAATACACTAGCTGATTCCTGTGCAACTTGCTGTACTTTGCCTCTATACCAGGTTCCATCTTCTGTTGAAAAGCAACATGGCACACCTTCTTCACATGGCTCAAGCTTTACTAGACTGTTTGATTCATTTGCCTTCGAAACACTTCCAGAAATTTCCTGAAGTTCTTTATAATTCTTGAAAAGTTGAATGAAAAAGCGTCCATCATCTTCTATGTGGCTGACACCAGCAGGTGTCACCTCCTTGGGAATGAGTGGGCATCTATAGTTGTTGGATGGGCAGACCACTTCCTGCAGGTCTTGACCATCTGCTGCGGTAGCTGAGATGTTGAAGGGTGCAGTGGTGTTGAGAAACTTCACCGTAACCTGATGTTCTATTAAGTACTCTGAAAGTTTGCTCTGACTTTCGGCAGAGAGAGGCCCCACATCAAGGAATTGGCATTGGTAGGCCATAGGTGCTTGTGTCAACAGTTCTGAGGTAAGAGGTTTCACACCTGAAGATGCCACTGTATCTCCATTTCCATAGTCGACAAAAGTAACACTCAACTGTGTTCCGTCTGACTTAGATACAACAGCTCTGTACCAAGATGAATCCTCGGAGAACACAGCAGCACAAGATGCTCCTACTACTAGATTTGGATGCTTTTCCTTTATCTGCAGAGAGAGAAGTTGTTCGCTCATGGCTTCTAGAGCCTCTGTGTCACTTTCTAGCTGAATGAAAAAGAAGCCATCATTTCCTATGTGAGAAATGAAAGCTGTGTTTTCACCCTGAGGAGGAGTTTGCAAAAGGAACTCTTGCTTGGGGACAACAACTTTTGGCTGTGGGGGAGAACTGTTAACATTCAAAGATTTACCAGCACTTGAATCTAGTTTCTTCGGAGTGCTGGTGCCAAATCCACTTCTGGGAGACTTTGATCCTCCTGTGCCAAACCCAGACGGCTTTGGAGAGAGTTTCGGGGCTGGTGGAGCAATCTTTCCCGTCATGATGCTTAGCAAATCTCCGTCAGGAGTCTTAATGTCAACTTCATATGGTCTTACGTTAGTAGTGAAAGTCACTTCCAAATCTTTGTCCAGAGTGGCTGAGGCAAATTTCTCTGCTTGATCAACAGACCACGAAAGTCCCCTCAACTTGCAGGGGAAGGCTTGCACCGGGTACTGCAACAAATCTGGAAACAGAAACTTCAAGTCATATGGACTACACTGTGCAGTGTTCCCGTAATCAACGTATCTTACAAATATCTTGTTGCCGTCAGCCTCTTCCACCAGGCAGCGATACATACTTCCATCATCTGGAAACTTGCCACAGCACACAGTTCCTTTCATGGCAGTCTCCTTGAGCCTAGGTCCTCCGCCACCTTTATAGCTGCCAGCAAGGCGTTTTGACAAAAACAAGATGTCTCTTTCCATAGAGGGCAACTGAAGATAAAACGTGCCATCTTCGTCCATATGCACCAACAATGCACTCTCCGACTCCGCAGGTGGGTCTGGATATGTGAATGTTGTGTTATCAGCACCACTTGTACTGGAATCAGAGCTGGGTTTCCGTTCTCTTCTCCCAAATCCACCAGAATCCCTGTCCCCTAATCCACTTCCCCCCTCTCTATCTCCACGTCGTCCTCCACCAAAGCCAGCACCCCCATCCTTATTCCCTCCAAATCCTCTGTCTCTCCCTCCTCCAAAGCCACTCCCACCATCACTGTCCCCTCCACGGCGACCATCACTGTCCCCTCCACGGCGACCACCAAAACCTCGATCACCTCCACCTCTTCGCTGATCATCAAATCCACGATCAAGATCATTTTTCCTCGGACTCTTGCCAAAGCCGGAAGACCTCTCACCACCTCCAAACCCCCTGGAAGCACCACCAAAGCCACCCGCAGACCCATCAGTTGTCTCCAACTCACCCCAACCCCCATCATTCCCAGGACTCACTTTCTGGTCGGCCCAACTGCCAATTGGAAGAGGGCTTTGGGGTGATTGTACATGTCCGGCACTGACAAGCTGACTCACTACATCCTGACCGTCACGCTGTATTTTCACAGAGCTGGCTGTCACAAATGTACAGAACAGCTCTTGATCCATAAGCAGAGATTCAAAATACTCTTTCGCTGCCTCCGACCATGAACTCTCCTTAACGCCATCCAGTGTACACTGATATGCCATAATTGGCACTCTAGCTATTTCAGGGGTCAGCTGCTTCACATTGTTTAAACTGATGCTTTCCTCATTGCCGTAATCAACAAACAGCACTGTGCACTGATCACGCTGGACAGAGACAATCTTCCCCCTGTACCACTGGCTGTCTTCTGAATACAGAGCCACACAATACTGTCCCACTGCTGGGGATGCTATACATGGCTCAGAATCTGACACATACTTGACAGTAATGCTGTCCATGAGACTTCCAAGCTCCTCATCGATTCCAGCCTTCTGAAGGAAAAATTTGTCAGGGGAATCTATCACACTTGTATAAGCCTGTATAGTGGATCCAACAGGAACTCTGGGGGCAGGGATCAAGGTGGGGGCTCTTGAAGACAGCTGAGTTTCTGTAGATTTCAGCATTGTTGAGATGGGTATGTCACCTGCATAAAGTTCAACAACGGCAAGGTCTCCCTGCATCTGTAACACCTTGAATGTCAACTCTTTCTCAAGTGTGAGGTCTGTCAATGCCCGGGTCAGGTGGGCAGACTCTCCAGCAATTGGCAAGGAGCACTGAACAGCTTGTGTGGGGACGTCAAGGAACCTTGGTTCTGGCATGCAGACCACGTGGTGTGAGACAGTCTCCACGTTTCCATAATCAATAAAATGCACGTCGCAGGCCTGTGAGGAAGTGCTCAAAACACTAGCTCTGTACCATGCATCGTCTTCACTATACTGTGCAATGCACGCTTGGCCTACAGCTGGTCGCGAGACTGGAGTGCCTCCTGCATCAGAATAATGTGCATCCAGCTTGTCCATCAAAGCATCCAGTTTTGCATTGTTTTTCTTGAGCTGACACCAGAAACTCTGGGGAGAGTCCACATGGGTGACAGTGACAACTTCCGACTGTCCTTTCTGAACGGTGACATTATATGGAAACATGGGCAGCTGATTCTTGGTCTCAGCGGCCTGGCCAGTTGCATCAGCAACGACTGCCAGTGAAATAAGTTCCTGTCCCACGTCTTTACCATTCACAGAAAGCTGCACAAACTTGTGATTCTCTGACTCTCCAACAACCTTGCACTGACAACCATTCTCCGTCAACTTCTCCAGGAAATCCTTGGCATCCACCGACCATGTGTTGTCGTTTCGGAGCGGCCGGACTCCCCACAAGGTGCAGCGGAATGCCAGAGGGAAGACGGTGCCGAGCTGAGGGGTCACTTGGCGGAGCTCTGACTTAGGGATAAGATCAGAGTTACCATAGTCGATGAACAACACTCTAACCATGTCCTCAGACTCCTTCAGAACTAACCCCCTGTACCACTGCTGATCCTCTGAGAACCTTGCAACGACAAATGCTCCCGGAGCAGAGATTGCAGCAGGTCGTGGCTGTGAGTAATACTCTTGTATCTCGTTGGACAGTTTCTCAAGAAGAGATGAAGAATCAGCTCGCTGTACCCAAAAGTCCCCTGGGTTTACTATCCAGCTCAGGAATGTTTCTGCAGTTGCTCCCTCAGGCAAAACAGGACCTGATTCCTTAGATGTTAGGACTGTGGGACTTTTTTCAATATAACCAGGCATGTCGCTAGGACTGTTACTGTTGTTGTTGTTTAAATGCTTTGGTGGAGTAGTTGACTTGGCACCTGCAGACTTCTGGACTACCGGCTTCAAGAGAGATACAATATCCTTGTTTTCCTCTATATCCAACAGAGAGATCAGATGGGTATCTTGGTTTTTCCCCACCGTCTTCACTTCAAATTCTCTGTCAACGACTAGTTTTTCAAACTCTTCAATGACATCATCTCCCCATCCACGGCCGCCATTATCAAGATTGGCTAAACTGCATTTCACAGCTAAGGCAGGCAACTCTCGTTTGTCATTACTCAAGTCACAAATAGAAGCCAGATCTACACTTTCTGTGTTTCCATAATCAACAAAGTAGACACTTGCAGCTGTCTGCGAAACACTCTTGACGACTCCTCGGTACCAAGATTCATCTTCGTGGAATTTAGCTGCGCATATAGCCCCAGGAACTACTTTTTGCAGAGGCCTCAGCTCTTGGGTCATGTGACGTCGTGACAATTCTTCAGACAGCTCCACAATATCATTACTGTATTTGAGCTCTTGACACCAAAATAAGCCAGGATCTCTGACAAAGACAACTGTTCCTTCTGTCTTGTAGCCAAGTTGCCATTCTGCGCTCTTGAAGCCAGCTCCACCAGATGACTGACCAACTGATACCTGTAGGAGGATAGTAAACATTTATACGATCAACAAAAAGTACAGTTGAAACTGTCTAAGACGGCCACTCAATGTTGAGGAGAAAAGTGGCTGTCTTTCACTGTTTCAGTATAATGAAAAAAAAAAAAAAAATGTAAAGAAGGAAATGGGAAGTGGCTGTTTGTACAGGTGATGGTTTAATACAGGAGGCCGTTAGAGCCGGTTCGACTGTAACTGAGTTTACTCTGAGTGAAGAGAAGCAACTATTCTACCAATTATTTAGTGGCGTGAAAAAGCAAGAGACATACAGACAGCTAACAAAAGTAACAGAGATAAAAGCAATAAAGTACAACTTTCCAATGGGGGTGGGGGGGACAACAACAAACCAAAAAAACAACAAACCAGAAACAAAACATAAACAAACTGCTAAGCACATGCATGGGCAAACTGCAGCCCACTGGCCATATACGGCTTGAAAGTCAACCCAGTAACTAATAATGAACGTGGTTTGCTGTGAGTTGATAATAAACAAAACTGTCCCTCTTGGAAATTAAAATCAATAGTTTCCGCCCCAGTTAGAAATAAAAGATCTAATATTTCAACTTACGAAATGCCCATGAGTGACACCTGCAATAGTGTCACTTTTGAGAGCTCTGATATTTCAACTTATTTCACTAAATTTTTTCCTGCTTTGGTCCAGGAGATGGTTGAAACTGTCAGAGACGGCCACCCGTTGTTGAAAAGAAAAGTAGTTGTCTTAGACACATGGCTGTTTAACAGTGTTATTATAATGTAAAAAATACACATTGGAAAAGGAAGTGGCCGTTTGTACAAATGATTGTCTTTATACAGGTGGCCATTAGAACAAGTTCAAATGTATTTCGAATGACTAAATCTGGACCGTGACCTGGACACCTTTGCCCTTGCCTGACAAAGCCTAAACGACAGACTGATCCAAATTAATAAATGCAAAAGCAAGCTAAAAAAACCCAACAACAACAAACAAATAAAAATTGGCAGCATCTGACCTTCAGTCCACTCCCTGTGTCTCCTTGAACATTGGGGGCTCCAAACATTTGATTGAGACTCTGTCCTTCTCCATCATACATGTCCACCAGGAAGACATCATCTCTCTCTCTTTTCCCCCGAAATATTGCTTTGCATCTGAGTAAAAATACAAGTTAAAATTTTTTTTTTAAACAACAAAAACAAAAAACAACGAGAACACAAAACTTTCTTAAATATGTTGTTTATGAAAAATTGGGGAATGAGTAGAATAATGCCCCCTTCAACACAGTGGCATCAACTAAAAAGCAGGACCTGAAACCTCAATGAAGAATGAAATGTCTCACAGACAACTCCCCAAACAACTTTACAGCTAATATTCAAGAAGCATGGGAAAATGAGCAATCCCTCTGTGCCAATCATTACTGCATGTCTGTTATAGTAGACTCTGTTTTGGTGTTTTAGGGCGTTCGCAACTGCATAAGGTTATATGAGCACGCAGGGCACATAAAATATTTTCAGTTTGGTAGGAATTAATATTGAAACTTGCCCGGGTGGCGGCCAAAACCTACTCATCGATTTTGTACCACCAAGGGGAACTTGAACGTGTGCAATTTGCACATGGGACCTCCGAGATTTTTTTACCCTTATCTGAGAAGGCAAGGTGTTAGATCTTACCAGCCCGAAGATTAGAGGTATGGCAGAAAGACAGCAGTAAGAAAGCCAACGAGTAGAAGTAGAAAGGCTGCTGAAAGAGTTGGGAGCTCAAAGGAGGGGTAGGGGCAGAAAGTAGAGATGAAAGCAGATGCCAGAACATGGTTAGAGAGCAGGAAAGAAGAGGAAAGGAGAAAACTTTAGAGAACAAAATTTTCTGTTGCTGTCAGATTTCGAACCCACGACACTGAATGAGAGGCGAACACTGTAAGCTCTAAACCACGAGAGCCCCTACAGTAGAATGAGCTTTGAACAACCATGTGACAAACCAAAGCCCAAATAAATATAGCCACATTTAAAAGGAAAATAGATAACATCCCAAGCAAAAACTCTGATGGTAAACAGGACTGCCCACCCACCAGTATATATATATATATGTTTAAGTAATCAACAAATAGAACATTTGAGATTTTGTAATAATATGGTTATGGACAGTCTTCTTGTCTGGGGTATCAAGGACAAGGGTTGCAGTCAAGTATAAATGTGTTCGTTATATTTATTTAAAACATTGGAATCAGGGGCATTACAATCATATTATTGTAAAAACTGAACATAAAGCCAAACGATTCGACCAAATTCATGATGATGGGCAGCCCTGCGGAAAGTTAAAAAAAAGGGGTCAAATTCAAAGAGCACTTACTTTTTGTCAATCACAATATCCTCAAACTGAACCATCAACTCTGGAGGCCAATATCCCTGTTCACTGGTTACACCTGCAAGAGCACACCTAAAGTTCGAAGAAGAGAAAAAATTTGAATTTTTTTTTTACCAAGCACTAACCCAGAGCAAAGACCAAAGCCTGGCGGAATTCAAATGACCCTTATTAGGCAAGGTCAAATTAACCCACTTCCTATTAGAAGGGGCAGTATTAAACAATCGTTAAAAGTATTGATATTGAATACATCAACTAGGATTTTTAATAGTTACAATATGTGAAAGAGAAAATATTTAACACCCTTAAACTCAAAAGAGAAAAATAAAATCAATTACAACCAGTTCTGCCTTGAAAATTTAGCAACAACCAGTTCTGCCTTGAAAATTTAGCAACATCATGTCAACCTCAACAAACTGTCTTACATCTTTAACATCCGTCCCAGTGTAGCAAAACACCCACAAAGATGATTGTAATGCTGAGACAGGGAGAAATAGGGCCAAAAAATACTGAAGAGGAAAAAAAGCAAAAACAAACAATACACACACCAACAGTAATGTTTATAGATGTGTTTGTTTTCCAGCCACCAGAGGGGGAAAGTAAACAAACCTGTATGACTGCACTGGGTATTGCACAAGAGCAGGATCCAATTCTTTGATGCGCTCTCTTTCCAAATAATCTGTATTGCCATAATCAACAAAACGGACTTCTATCAGCCCATTTTGCATGACACCTGAAACCAGAATATGGCAATCAATTTGAACATCCAGCAAACAAGGTCAGAATAAAATAAAAATTATTTCAGTAAATACCCTTCATTGATAGACCTACACATTAGAACTTAATCTGGAGAAAAAAAGTGTCGAGAGATCATTTTATTCTACTAGTTATCATTATCTATTCAGATGTATGTATACATTTTTTTAAAAAGACTGCGGAGACTACCCGTAACTTGGAATAAATTTACCTATTTTGGTTACAATAATAATTTTTATTTGAACCACAAAATCATTTTCATATTGTTGGAAGAACAAAAACACAGCTGTGTGTGTTAAGTGAAATCTATGGCTCTTACTTGTTATAAAACGGAATTTAATTTTTGAGAAATGAGGTAAAAAAGAAATAAAGCGGCCTGTCGGAAGTGGCTATCGTAGGTGTTAACTCCATTATGTTTCAGTTTAGTTTTTGTAAAGTTTTACGACACTCGCAACAGCATATATGGTCATATGAGCGCCAAGGGGCGGATGTCAACAGAGAAGTCCAAACGGGGAATCAGGCTTACTCTGCTCACCTCTGTAGCGTCAACAGCACAAAGTCTACTTTGACTATCAAGGAACCCCGGAAATAGCAGTTCACAAGAGAGACAAACATACAAGAGAACTTAGAGGAAAAAATCACAATAGATTAAGGATGAGGAAAGAAAAAGCAGCAGTTCCCCCTATGTTGTTCTGGCACAGTATGAGCATGACATAGATAAATCAGCCCATTTACAATTCTACTGTGCAAAAGAACCTGTTAATATCCTCCATTTGGGAATGGCCTAAAGACAACTTCAGTCAGCAGCACTGCCCTGGTGGGCGGTTCAAAAATATCAACTTCTGATACTCACTGCACAGATAATTTATAAAAATGTGTTTTGAATGGTGACATACAAAAAGAGGCTGTTATAAAAATTTTTAAAAAGGAACCAAGATTGAAAACCATTAATACAATAGATTCCTTGATCCCCCCTTTCTTTAGTTAACTACGCGTTGCAACTTTCCTTATATAACAAAATAGTAAATATTTCTAACAAATCTGACAGGAATTTTGGGGCCTTTCATCATTCCCCCAAAAGCACATTTACAAGCCAACAAAGAGTAATATAGGTAGGGTTGGTGATTTTTTAAATAAAAATTTTTTAAAATTGATTTTTTAAAGATTACAAATTTTCTTTATCTGATTTTTTTAAATGTCGACACAGTTTAGGATTTTTGGTGGCTAAAAGTATGTTCTTGTAGTGCAAAATGCATTGTCTTTATTTTAACTAATGATTAATTTAAGCAACTGCAAAAGAAAGTCTTAATCTGCTATATCAGTGAATTATGGCTACTAATGAAAAATGAAGAAAATGTCAGTCTAAAAGGCAGGGGGGGAATTATGCACAGATAAACTTGCATTTTATTACAGTCTGTGTGTGTGTGCAAACGCTTGTTTTTGTCTAAAAAGAACAAGAATGCTTATTTCAATTATGAAAAAAAAAAGTAAATTGAATACGGTATTATTTTACAGTGACGGGGAAAAGCAGACTTTTAAGCATGAATATATTAGTCTACTAAACCTTATCTGTTTTATAAAACCAAGGAAAGGAATTCTGAATAGATGTAAAAACAGAATACATTTTTAAAAAAGTGATTTAAATCAGAGTTTTATTTTTAAAATCAAGTTGATTTAAATTTTTAAAAATCAACTGATTTAAATCAACCCAACCCTGATTTCAATTATGAAAAAAAAAGTAAATTGAATACTGTATTATTTATTCACAGTGACATGGGGGAAAGCAGACTTTTAAAACCTGATATATCTGTTTAATAAAACCAAGGAAAGGAATTCTGAAGGTTTAAATATATGTAAAAAACGAATACATTTTTAAAAAAGTGATTTAAATCACTGATTTTTATTTTAAAAATCAAGTTGACTAAAATTTTAAAAATAAAAAAAAACTGATTTAAATCAACCCAGCTCTGATTTTAATTATGGAAAAAAAGTAAATTGAATACTGTATTATTTTACTGTGAAAGGGGGTAAAGCAGACTTTTAAGCATGGTTATATTAGTCTACTAAACCTTACATCTGTTTTATGAAACCAAGGAAAGAAATTCTGAATGTTAAAATATGTAAAAACTGAATAAAAATTAATTTAAAAAAAAGTGATTTAAACCACTGATTTTTATTTAAAAAATCAAGTTGATTTAAATTTTTTAAAATCAACTGATTTAAATCAACCCAACCCTGAATATAGGAGAAGCCCTCTTTTTTGTTTTCCTTTGCACTTTGCTTGACACAAGTAAAGAAAACACACCTGTAATCTTAGCTCGATACCAGTTGTTATCATCAGTATATCTTGCAGCACAAAGAGCTCCAAGTTTGGTGGATCTAAGGCACTTCTCATCCTCATTGATGTCTCTGTATCGCTTCTCTAGGCTGTTGGTTATGTCATCAAGAATGGTTGAGCGACTTTCAATGTGCACAAAAAATAGTTCTGGGTGCGTCACATGTGTGGTAAAAATGTACTCCAGTGAACCGTCAGATATGGAATCCACCGGGTACTCCATACTTCCTTATTAAAATCAAGATTCCTTGTCTGGAGATGTGTCAAAACCTGAAAAGAAATTACAGAAACAAATGAACCACTGAAAAAAAATGTACATGTAACAGTCATGTTTTACTGTCCCTCAACGCTATTAAGATCATTTAAGAAGCGAGCTGCTAAGAACCTGCCTATCAGGGCCAACCCATGCAAAGAGGGATACAACATCCCTTCAGACAGACTGAGATGATACTTGATTAACACCCCCCCCCCCCCCCCCACTAAAATTTGACAGAGATGTGACAAAAGTGCATAATCCCGTATCCCTACACTGCATAGGTCTACACAGGTGAACTAGAAAAAGGCCCTTCTTCCTAGAGAAGTACCCTTTAATATGACACTACAACTTCGAAAACAATATTATTGTTCTGAAATCTGCTCAGTCTGACTAAACAGAATCTATAGTTATTTGTAAAAAATTTTTTTACCCCCCCCCCCTCTTGAAAAATCATTGGGCACTAAGGCAAACAAGAACTGGATCATCTGGCATCCCAAAACTTAACAGACGATTGAATAAAAGTTAGGGCGTAAGTGTCAAAAGTTTTTGTTTTTTTTTAGTAGAGGTATTACAGCGCTCGCAACTGCATACGGTCATATGCGCACCAGAAGATTAGAGGTGTTACAAAAGAGTAACAAACATAAAAAAGAAGAACCCCAGATAAGGACAATAGATGTATAATAGGAAAGAAGAGAAGCAAACCACACCAGAGCACCCGCCAACCACCCACGTTGAAAGTTGCAAATATATCCATGTTGCCTGATGTCCACAAAAGATGTATTTAACTATAGATAAAAGTCCAGGCTTGAAAAATCTAATAACTGCCTAACTAGGCTATTGATTTTAAAAAAGCAACAAAAAAAAACGTTATAGAGCCAGAATTTCAATTCACAATCCGTTCACAATATTATCAATAGAAGGCCTATTATTTTAAAAATTAAGACGACATAGGGTCCAGCTCTAACTCAAGTATATAAATATTTAGGGAAAGTTGGGGCAAATTTGGCCACGTGGCAACTTCGACAGTCTCAACCTAGCCTTGGCTTTTGTGAATCATTTGACCTAATGTCATGGAATTATCAAAGCCCACTTTTATTCGTTGCACACTTAATTCCATCTAAAAAATAAAATGTGCTTCCTTGGTCTCCACACTTGTTTCTAATTTTAGGCAAAAAGCTGCAGATTGGTGTAACAATACTTTGGTAGCCTCAGGTTCATTTCAATAAGAATTAGATCTAGAAATATTGATTTTTAAATTAATTTATGTGATTTACTTAAAACAATGGGGTGAGATTTTGGCGGCTGGTGCAAATTTGACAAGGCGAAACTGGGCAACCTCGACAGGGGGAGGGCCAATTTTGACTTACTCAGATTCGTTCCAGGTCAAGCCAAAATTCCAGCTTACAATCTCACGAAAGAGAATCACCTTTTACTACAGTTGGGTCAGGCTCGTTGTGTTGATGATAGAATAGATTTGTTCAAAAGTGTTGCTATGATGAGCTGTATCTAAGTGTGTATATATCTCCAAGCTCAATGAATGGTGACGCAACTTGCGTACGCTCAATAGAAGGGAAATGACGCAATCTAAACCCTAACATGACATCTCCCCTTTCAGATGTACACACACGATTTAATGAAGATTTGTAATTCCTATAGTTTTAGAATCCTTCAAGGATATGACCGATGAGGGATATAGATCTATCTGTGATTGTCAATATACCAATGTCTGAATAAAGTCAGATTTCCGCACTGTTCGTCCTTTGTATCTTTGGCAGTTTGTTGATTGGCACTGTTCATAATACTGCACTTTTCAGGATAAAATGACAATAAAAAGAATACGTCGATAAGTACACGAGCGTAACAGTTCTGGATATAGAAAAATTAGACGGAACTTGGCTGCCCCTGCGTCTTAGAACTTGGTCCGGACTTTGGCTTGGCTGTCGGCTCCGATGCTGGCTCGGCTGTGTCGTCTCGTCTTGGGACATCATACAGGGAACTGTGGGGGGGTCAAGTGGTTTTGGGACAAAGGGATGGTAGGGACGATGACCAATAACAGGAAAGGGTGCTCCTGGGAGGGGACTGTTGGCGGTCTGTATATCGGCATCCTGTAGAAACTGGGCCCTCTTCAGGTGACATCTGTTTCTGCGCAGGACTCCTGTCTGTGAGCGTAGAATGTAGGATCTCGGTGAGCTTTCTTCGATGATAGTCGATGGGCTGTGCCATTTTCTTGTTGTGGTCAAGTTAGGTCTAGGACCTTGTCCCCCGGCAGTAGTGTGACTGCCGCGTCCGATCGGTCCATGTAGCGATCGAGGGTCTCATTGCGTACGGCACACCCTCTGGGGGTGTGGCAGGTTTAGTTAGCGCATCACCATTTGTCAAAATATCTAGTCAAGGAGTGCCGTTCGACACGACCTATTGGTGAAGGCAAGGCAAGGCTATGTGCAAAAATTAACTTACTGTCATTCTGTTGTGAACTGCCAGTTGCAGACGAGACTTACCAGATCTAGATTAGTCGGTCACGCATAAGGAGACACTTTTGTCGCGACTGAAAATTTGTCTGCGATGTAGTCCATATAATATAAGGATAGAATCTAGATCTAGATCTAGATCTACGCTACACACCTCGCAACTGATTGTGCGCGACTAAACTCGCGTCGCGCAAGGATATAAAGGCTTAGACTAGAATCTAGATCAATGTATTACGTCATGTCATGTATGAAATTCGGCTTCAGAAACAGAGGCAGCATAATTGTCATTGCAATTGAAACAGAATCCAGTCTCTCCTCACTCTAGATTTAGATCTAGATTAGATCTAGATATCTAGATCTAGATCTACTCTCAAAGACTAAAGTAAAGACTAATACGGGGTGCCCACTACGGCTGGATCGGGCCGATCGCTGAAACTGAAAACAAACACGTTTGTTTTTGAGGAGATCGAGTTGGGCGATCCGCCGTAGTGGTCACTGTGTAACTCAAGAATCTTTGAATCCAAATTGATCAGAGCCAAGCCCATGCACAAATAAATTGCACAAAAATCATTACCTGCAGTGCTGCAGCTTACATTTGAGCCTCAAGACGTCTAAGAAGGATTAAACACAACTGCTTGTAAAATCAACGTAGACCTAATATCTAGATCTAGAATCTAGACTTTAGATCTAGACTCCAGGCTATTCTGCACAATCAAATCGTCGCTTGGTCTTGAAACGGGGTCGGAAGGACTTAAGGGAAAGCAATGCAATCCAGTATCGATAACAGGTTGTCCATTTAAATGCCAGTTATCACGAGAGCTACACTCTATGTCAAAGTTCATAAAATATAAGCAAGATTGAAGAAACAATCAAAAAGAACTCGTGGCTGAGTCAAGACAGGGTAACAAAAAACGCCAAAGTATAATACTTAACATGTCGACGACTGCAATTTACCTTTGGTTGAAAGCCATCGAACAGTCGTCTCTCGTCGGCAGTCGGCAGCAGTCGACAACACTCGTGGGAAAATGGCTTACTTCCCGCCATTTGCGGGAGAGCCTATTAGGCCTATTTGTCAGGGGTGGGAGCTTCAGCGTTACTTGTTAGATCTAGACCTAACCTAAGTCAACTTTGCACATTATAATTATTCTTGTGATTCAAAAGCGGAGAAAGACATGTAATATCCATATCCAAGACAAACAAGCAGTTTTTAGAAAAATAAAAGACTTTAGAGGTTTATTTGCATTTTATAGAGAATTAACATTGGGCTCATTCATATCCTTAACCCCTCAGATCCATAATTTTACTGTGGGCTCGAGGTCAAAGGCTGCTTCGTGAACCTGGCGACCTCAAGTGTCAAGTCAAAACAGAACACGTTGAAAAACGAAAGTAGGGTAGGCTAGTCCTTGCCTGAAAATCAACAATCAGCAGGTGTCGATTTGGGAACAGAGGTAGCAACATATTTGTTCAAGCTATTTTGTTATGTAATTGTTATTCTTGATCGGTCTTCTACGAGCTCCGTAGCGGAGTAGCCGTAAAGGCAACCACTTTAGCCTTTTCCCAAGGAGTACTATACAGTACTCCTTGCCTTTTCCTTATTATTCCCATTCGGTCTGTACAGAATGAGAACGTGTTTATCGTTTATCGATGAAGAAGGGAAGGGCAGGGGTGTCGAGGTCCAAAAAATAAGTAGATCTAGAGAAATCTAGATCTATCTAGATCTAGATTTAGATCTAGAGTCTAGATCTAGATCTAGATCTACCTGTATAAAAGCAGGCACACACACATTTTACTGACACTCACACACTCACACACACACACGCGTGCACGCGCGCACACACACACGCGCGTGCGCGCGCGCACACACACTCTCTCTCTCTCTCT